TATATATATAGAGATATATATATATATGCTATATATAAATTGAATAGTAAAATGTCTATTAGGCATGAATGTTTTACCTTAGAATCTTTTAATTATGTTATAAGTACAGTATTTGCAAAAACTACACTTCATAAAGTACCTGGTGAAGTGTTTGAAAATTAAAAAAAAAAAAACGAGATTCGTGCTGAGCTGATTAGATACAAGAATGTGTTAGACAGAGGAGTTACTGTTGTAATCACAACATTTTCTTCGCAACTTGATTATATATGTTTAACGACCAATACCTCCATGGCTTTACCTTATACCCCCATGGTTTTTCACGTGCCGGAGTTATACTGTTCAAAATTCTTTGATACAGAAAAGTTTGCTCATCCTAAATTGCCACCCATACGATCGCAAGCAGGCAGCGAGCCCTACATTTGTTGAAGGTTGTCAAATCATCAACTGTGATTCTGATAGTGTTTCTAATAACAAAGGCTCATATAAGCAATGTGTGTGGTCTACCTTTAGACGTCACATGATGTTAATGAAATGTTGTGACGTTATTCATTCAATGTGTAATTGTACCTTGATTGACAGACACGTCAACTGTCGAAAAGATAATCTTAAGTTCCAACTTGAAACCACTTACTCAGTAGGTCACTGGTATCAATAATGATATTATAGACTGACTAAACCACCCCATTGTTTTAGGGGACATTTGTTATTTTTGGGGGTAAGCCTATGGGGAAGATTACATTTCTTTTGTTTATTCGTTTGTTCGTATATTCTACCTTGGTGTTAACGGAGTTTACGAGCTTCCGCAAAGATTTACACTACTCATGATCTTCTACCTACAGGTCGAAACGTTAATTCTCTCTCTCAAACTGCTCAAACATTCAAGTGTTTGTATTTCTTTTACAACATAGTATTGTTTGTTTGTACTCTTACTAAATTACCAGCACAGTATTTAAATTTCGTTCATGGGATTGTAATTTAAACATTTTCTGCACTTAAATATGATTCATAAGATGAGGCCTATTAGTATTATTGTACTAGACCCTATTACTACTACTACGCCTACTAGCACTACCACCACTACTACCCGCTATCACCAATATAAACAATAATAATAATAATAATAATAATAATAATAATAATAATAATAATAATAATAATAATAGGCCTAATTATCATTATTTTTATTAACATTATAATTATTTATTTAAATATAAACGATGATATTACCTTTGCAATGGCTCCAGCGAAACTTGGATTCAACCGAGAAAACGAGTAGAACAAGAACTAAAACACAGTAGCACTGATGCGCCATCGGAGCTGTTTCTAAGTTTAAGAAAAGAAGCTTATTTGGCGTAATCAAAGTTTGTGTCTCTGTCAACATAAACTTCACTACTACCAATAGCCAACGAGCCGGAGAAGAACTCAGAATGGACTGTTCTATTACAAACAAGGTATGCTCAATGCGTATCAAGTGACTGTCAATTGAAATTAAATGCCAAAATAAAGAAGGTTGTTAAAGATTCTACCTAGAGGGTAAGCTGAATTTGAACTTTTGATAATAAATGAAAGAATAGTGCCTATATTTTGGCGATTTATTTAATACCGATACTGATTGTGTACTGTTATAATTTTTCTTTCACACCCAACAGCGAACGCACCACACTTGCCAATTACTTAATGGACGATGTCTTATAAACCCAATTTCATTATAAAACTCGAACGGCGTTTTATGCTTTGAGCATAAAGAGCATTTTTACAACTAAAGTCGAAAAATAGTTGATGATTTTCCCATACGTCCTTTATTAAGACAACGTTAGATATACACCACAGATGACGAAATTCGTACGCCATAGCGCAGCTTTACCATCAACAACTTTACTGTTAGTACAGATACAATAAGACAGGACTTCCCCAACCCACCAACTTTGCGGCAGAAGCAAAAAATGATCATAACGTAATCGTATCACTAGGCTTATGAGTTAGAGGCTTACAGGTTGAAGATCATCAGGAATATGGATGTGAACCGAATGCACAAACAGTGCCATAACGCCTATGCGCTCTCGTGTGGCGGTCCTTATAAAAATGTGAGAAATATGTGGACAGAGCAAAGAACATGATAAATCGACACAAAAACAGGCTTATTTTTTAAAATTTTATTTGCAATAGACAATATATATAGTAGCAAGTTGCATACCTAGGTCCTAGTATATTTATAAGGCAAATATTTTAGAATTACTGGAATAAAAAAAAAACATTGATGCCGTTGTTCAGAAACGAATTACACAGAAATTAAATGTAAATCATACATCTTGTATTATTGTGTCAAAAAAGGCGTTGACGGGTCTGATGACGGAAAATTAAAAACAATGAATTGAACACGTCTACATAACGACAGAAAACTTTTAATATACGAAAAGAAAAATCTAATGATATCATGCACTAAGAAAATCCCAACAATGATAGTCATATTTGTCATGTCATAGTTCTTATTCTTGATAATAGGCTATTACAAATTTGTAAATTTGTTGTATACTGTAAACGATGATAACACGTCCGTAAGGACGGTATTGAAATATTGTATTCTTGATGATAAAATGAAAAATATTGAAAACAATATTTTAATGAATAAAGGTGGATGAAAAACACGAAAGAAAAACAAAATTCCTATATTTACAATTCGCCTTCCAATTCCAGACCACCTAGTTTGGGACCTAAAACTTTGGGGTGGTCTCGAGTTTGGTCCCTACGAAGGTTAACATCTGTGTCTGGTACTTGGTGGTCTCGAATTAGAGGGGTCTTGGAATTAGTGGAGTATCGAATTGGAGGGTACATTGTAATTGCCATAATCAAAGTCTGGGAACTTTCAATAAAATAGGGGTGTTCCCGTTTGGTGTGGCAGGTGTGTTAAAAGATGTACTTTCTATGCAGCCAACAAGTGTCCCCATAATAGAGAGGGGGTCCGCTTGATAGGGATGTAATAACGGAGTTCTATTGTATTCCCTACTATTTCGGCCAGCATTCAGGAAATATTGATAATTACTTTACACACAAATGGTTAATGCTATGTTATACGTCGTGTTATGTAATTCTCCCTCTTTTTGGCTTTTCATGATCTAAATTCGTTGGCTTTCTCTCTAAAAACTAATTAAAAATAGTTCAATAGTGCGTAATGGTGTGGCGATATTTACCTCCAGGTATTATACATCACTTCTGATGATGCTGCTGTTAGTCAAGTAAGTGAACATTAAGTATAATTCTAATTTTACACTTATGAACCAAATATTAGATCCAAATTCATCAATCGAATGCAATTACTCATGATCTTCTTCGAAAGTCGGTAGCATCTGAATAGTTGTGAGCGATTTTAATTCGTCAGTGACTGGTAGGCCTGTCGTGGTGAATTCTTTGACTTCTGGTGGATAACAATACTTGGGCATGGTGTTCAATGTTTGCTGCGCATGATCAGTTCCCTTCGATGGAAGGGCTCGTCGTTTGCGTCCACTCAATTTGATAGCCAACTTCATATCCAGACACTCTACAACCTGACCGTTCCCGTCTTTCAAGACAAATTGAGCTTCGAACTTTCCCTTGAGAAGATAAACAAGATACCGGTAATTGCTAACTTCGTAACACTGATGCAATGGTCATATTCATGATAATATTAAAAAAAAAAAAAAAAAAAAAAAAAAAAAAAAAAAAAAAAAAAAAAAGAAAATAATAATAACTAGATTTAAATTCGCAGGGGCGTAGGGTGATTCCCATTTCGTGGGGGGGTGGGGGTCGAAAATTGTAAATGCGGAAATACAAAGGATCAGTGGCCGAAGGCCCCGAGTCAGGCGCTGGGGCAGGGGGCCGCAAGGATACGATAGTCATCAAATGATTGCTATTTCCATAATTCTGGAATGATTGATCATGAAGGAGACTTTGGTATCAGGATCAAACCAGGCATTTCAAAAGACATGTAAGCTTAATACAGTGTCAGTACGTCGACACAAACGCGCACACGAATTCGTATGCTTAAAGCTACGTTCACATCAAGCCCGGACTCCGGACCGGAATCCGGGCTTGATGTGAACGTAGCTTAATGCGTGCATACGGCGTTGTTTCGGTCTAAAATGACTGAAAAAGTTGAAATTTGTGAACCTCAAACGTGCTTTAAATTGTTTAAAATTTGATTTTGGGAATTTTAAAATTTTAACGCACACGAACGCGCGCACGGACGGCAAGGGCACACGAAGTCGACCCTTGATACACTTGTGACGTATCAAGTGTCATTTAAAAAATGTCTGTTGGTCGGTAATCTGGCATACTAAGTTGACCCTTGATATAAAGTACTGTATACTTCTGTCTAATAGTGTTGTAATCCAGTCTGCCGCCCTCTGTCGGGTTCTTCAAAGATTTGAAAAAGGAAAATGGGGAGGGGGGGTCAGAAAAAATATTAATTTGACCATGATGACTCATCAAAATGAAAAATACCCTATCAGCCAATGATCTATAAAAATCATGTGCTTTCAAAATATGAAGTAAAAATTTGGAAACTGATTTAAAATAGGCATTATTTTGGCATATATTTTCACTGTATGTGACACAAACGCGCACACGGATTTGTATGTTTGATGTCATTTTCCCTAAAATGGAAAAATGGCAAATTGTGAAAAATTTGAGAAATTTTGAAATGATCAAAATGGCCTGAAACATGCTCTAATTTAGTCAAAACGTGATTCTGAGCATCTTTTAAATTTTTACACACACGTAAGCGCACGTCATGACTCGCGCGTGGACGGTGAAGAGAAAAAAAGTTGAAGTATATTTGTGTCAAATTATTGAAAAATGCCTGTTGGTGAGGAATTTACGATAAATCATAGAATTTCACAAAACAGCGCGTAACGGTGACGTCACACAAAAAGACACATGCACAACTTGTAGATGTTGGCCAAGTAACAAGGAGAGAGCCTGTGCCGAAAAAAGTCGTAAACAATAAGAACAAATAAAAAAAAAATCGCAAGTAAAACAATAGGTGATACGCTGTAGCAGCGTAATAATATAAGATAATAATAATAATAATAATAATAATAATAATAATAATAATAATAATAATAATAATAATAATAATAATAATAATAATAATAATAATAAAGTAATTGTTATTGTCGTGATGGAATAGACAATAACTGGATTTTTGTCTTACCTGACGTGGAAACTCAGTACGTTTGAAAACAAATGCGAAAAATCGCAAGTTGTTCTCGGATGTTCTTATTAATAATAATAATAAAAATATTAAACAATATTAAGTACAAAAAAACATGAACAATAAATTCATGCTAAATAAAAAAATGGAAAAAAACCCATGAAAACCAACTCCACGTCAGTGAGACTCGAACTATGGCTGCAGTGGTAATAGAGAGTAAGGACACAACCTAGGAAGGATACGGTAGTGAAGAAATGTAAAACGACGCGTGGGCATAAAATAAGTTAAAAGAAAAGATAAGAATCTTTAATTTTAATGTGTTTGGTGATTTCTATGTAAACCCTGTAATTCATCCCTCTGAATTGACTTTTATAATAATATTACAGCCAGCTACCTGAATTTATTCAAAACGCCTGTGCCGAAAAAAATCGTAAACAATAAAAACAAATAAAAAAATAAAAAAATCGTAAGTAAAACAATAGGTGATACGCTGTAGCAGCGTAATAATATGAGATAGTAATAATAATAATAATAATAATAATAATAATAATAATAATAATAATAATAAAGTAATTGTTATTGTCGTGATGGAATAGACAATAACTGGATTTTTGCCTTAAAAGAAAAGATAAGAATCTTTAATTTTAATGTGTTTGGTGATTTCTATGTAAACCCTGTAATTCATCCCTCTGAATTGACTTTTATAATAATATTACAGCCAGCTACCTGAATTTATTCAAAACGTCATTTTAAATAAACATTTCCTTCGTGGTGAAATTAAGGAAGATTATTGGAACATAATATCCTCAAAAAAGTATTCGAATAAATACAGAAAGCCAATTTACCACACGTAAATTTTATGAACTTACAGAAGCAAATATGTGCGCATAAGACGGAATGTCATCAATCTCTATGGCAACAGAGCTCTTGCTAGTGTTGTACAACCCTGGGGCAGGTGGGCAGGTACAGTCTATGCAATTTGTGAGGAAATCATTAGGGCAACTGAACGACTTGTGCCCGGTACCCAGTGCATGGCAGATTTTCTCATAAGAACTGAAATATAAAGAAAAGGATAAGAAAAATAAGCATTAGGCCTATCAGTGCAAAAAATAAATAAAATAAATACAAAAAGTTACAATCTATAGTCAATACATAAAATCATGGAGGAATTAGTTTAAAATTTACAATGTAATGATTTGAGAAGAAAATCCCAATTCAAATCAAGTCTATCTACCAATCTTAAATTTGTGCCTACATCTGTGGAAACTTGCCAAACTATAATTTAATAAAGTACGGCATAGCAATATAATTGGCAGTAAAATGAAAATTAATCTACTACTCTCTAAGTGGTTACCCTTGACCACTGGGATACAGTCAATGTACTTACCAGCATCCATAGATTCGTGTTTTCTTGGTAAACCAGAACAATTTTACCATTTTCCAGAGTTTTACTTCTAAGGAGAGTGGAGGCGTGATATCTCTAGTAACTTCAATATCAAACTGCAAATGGATTGTGCCCGGTAGGATTATAGGATCGGGCGTCATCTTGAAGCGTTTGAAAGTTAAGCCTTTTTGATGGGAGTGCCCTTTATAAAGAAAAGAAGGGATATTTTTAAGAATAACGAGCGACATAAAGATTCCTTGTGACCACAGAAAGATTATATTATGAGGGATATAGGGACTGTAATGTCAAATTTTCGATCTGTTTGTGCTTATTCCACCATTATTTTATCATTTGTTTCGCATTTGTGTTTATACACCGTTGTGTCCGTATTCTGTGCTCATTCTATTCCAATTTTTAGGCCCACTGTATATAAAGTATTAACTAGATATAAAGTATTAAAAAATAAAGTTACTGCACTTTCTCTACATTTTAAGTATCCGTGGCTTTTATAATGGGCCAACGATATCTAGACTTTAATTGGCTATATAGAACCACAGCAGGATCTATGCATGGACCTATTAAAAATAGGTCCATGGACCTATTAAAAATAGGTCTATGATCTATGCTATTAATAAAACTGAAAATAACTCGTTAGCGACTAGATGTTAATAAGGGACTATGTTTTACCATAGAGAAAATAGAACAGATTTACAATCCAAGTTATCTCTCAACTAAGATATAAACAATGTTACTGCTTTCTAATCTATACCCTACGGGCTAACACTCATGTAGGTCTTTCCTCCATGGTCTGCCCATCCATGGTCTACCAAGATAGCTTATTGTAGTGCATTCAACCAAAAAACAATGTTAATTAGCATGATTACAGCAAAACTTCACTTATGATAACTAACTATTAAGCACGGTGGTCTTTGTTATCACCTAACACAGACATCATGCCTGGTCTACCGTGAAGATGTGCGTGGGCGCGGGTTTCATGTGTAGACGTACAATACGAGTGGTTAAGTGATGTGGTAGTGTGCGCTAGTGCTGCCGGAATGGGAATTTGAATTAAAAACGCTTATTTATACTTTTATATGCCTGAAGTTCTTATAAATTACTTTGTCTAATGTAAATTTAATTATTTCGTAATAATGTATAAAGTAAGTTTGAGTTATTTTGTTTTCTTTTTTTATCACAACAACTATGAAAAACAGTATGTAAATGTTGTTGAGTTATGTGTTCGTGATTAAATAAAGCTTTACTACCTAAAGGCATGTGGTGTGGTAATTGGTCCTGCGATTTACGGATTACGACCACATGCAACGTACAAGTTTAAGTCCATTGTGCATACTATATGACGATGACCAGTCCTAAACTAACACGAACATCATGAATAAATCTTAAGATCTGGGATCGTAAAAAGGTACATGTAGTCACGTTTTGTCGAATCATAGTTAATTTAATTTATCGATGTGATTTAATGCTAAATTATATGTTGCTAGGTAGAAACTAGAAAGAATTGTATTAAAAGCATGGAGGAATGGTACAAGTATGCTTATCATAGACCATGGAGTTAAAATAATTATAACTCTCTATATAGACTAACTAAACTAGTCCTAATATATCATTCATCTATTTTATTTTTTTTAAATTAATTAATTTTTTATTTAAAACATCTTTAGGCAGGATAACATATACAGGCGAGATCATACCGCTGCTTTACAATATGGTCCTGCACAAAAACACAGTACAATAACAACAACAAAAAGTAACCAGCACAGTACAATAAAATAAACAATAGTAAAAAACTTTGGTGGAAAACTATCCCCCACCGGACACTAACCCGGTACTTCTGAGTCAAGGTTTCAGGGCCAGGAATTACTGCTCAATGTTTTTTATTTTTTTTTAATTTATTTTTTATTTTTGTGTAGTTCCAGGTAAGGAAAAACATATACAGAACAAATCATATATAGGCTTACTGTACTAGTTCGTAACGTTAAGCCCACTTGTATTGTTTTAAGAACTTAAATATTAAAATGTTGCAATAATGTTTTAACTTTTACTTTAAAATAATAATATAACCTGCTCTCAACCAGGGAACAGTTACATTACAAATCAACGTACCTTTACAGTGGGCCCAACTGAAGCCAGTAATGCACATTACACTGCCAAGAAAGACCAGAAACCCTAAGCACTTTGCTGCTTCCATTTTCGTGTTTTCCAGATGGTTCCGAGTTCGAGGATAAACACTACAATTGAAGACTGAAGAGTTTACTCTAGTTTGTTTGGATTGTTCCATTTTTGGATGGGAGAATTTATACATAAAATAATATTAAACATTAATATTTTCAGTCGAACATATATCAAATAGAAATAAATTTACAATGAAACCCAGTACAGGTATACAATTTATTTTAATAAATAATGTGGTTTAAGAGGCGTGCCTCTAGGAATTATGCGTTTTTGGCTTTCATGTTTACTTTTTGTTCGTTCACTCTCACTTCCACTATCTTAGTTCTTACCTCTAGCCAATTGTTTCATAACTTTTGTCAGCGTCTACTCTGTCAACCATTATAAAATCATAACACACGCACATATCTATTTTACAAATTGTATATTTTTCCTGCTACAATTCTAATTTGCATATCAATTAGAATGGGTGCATCACACCAAAGAGGCATACACACTATCACGTCATCAACGTAGTGGCCAAAACATCCGAAACTTTTTAAGACATGCGCAGTAAAAAAGTGGGCGTGGCTAATGCGTCACCCGTTCTAGATTGGCCGGCTTCCCATCCTGTTGCGTAAAGTGCCATATTTATTTGGAAAAAGCTTCTTTAACAGCGGCACACGTCAAATGCTGCATCCATAATAAAAAATAAAATCAAAATAATTTAAACCAATGAAATCTCAACGGCACAAAAAAAGAAAAAAAAAAAGGGTATGATTAGGAGGAATTGAGAACAATCTCTCCCCGTTCAAACTTAATACAGGTATAACACAGATTGTTTAAAGAGGGGGTTCCTAATTTTTCACAAAAGGGCAATTTGAGTCCTTACCCACATCAGCCCCACCTTGGCTGGGGTAAATAAAAAAAATATATAACACCTCAGATGTCTGGAGATGGCAATAAAAATGAAAAATTTCATATATTTGGAGTTAATTTCAACAACTTCCATGCATGATTGGCAATAGTTTACAATGGCATTTCTGTAAAAGGTGGGTTCCTTCGAACTCCGCTGGCTATGGGCTTTAGAGTATCAGCACACAAATTACGTTACGTTTCAATAGATTCCCATATGGTTTTATTACCTAAATTCTAAATCCCCGTATCTACAGATTAGTCCTACACTGAAATTGTTGTGACAACAGCCGTAATCTTTCAAATTAATGTTCATCTACCCAGACGATTTTAGTAGTTGTTGAAACACACCTGATTTACTTTGCCATACAAATGGGATTTATATATATATATCCCATGTGTTATTTATTGATATACCCATGGGTTGTATCAATCATGTTTTCTTTTCTCAGAATTAAAGATTCAACTTAAGAAGAGGTGCATATACAAATTCATATACAATTATGCTTTCCGCCACGATCTGCGACCAATACTTATGTCAAATTATTTATAATTTTTTTTTTTTATGTAAAATTTCTAGATTATCAATGATTTACAACTAGGTGTAGTCATGTACAATGTTTATCACAACCTAAATCCTAAACTTTGCTCCGTTATTAAAATGACATGATGGTTACGTTCCATGAATTTAACTAGAAATAAAGGGACACCAAGACCACCAAACGGTAAACGAAAAAGCTTTAGTGTCAATACTGTTGGTCCTAAAATGCGGAGCTCACTTAGCAATCAACTTAAGTCCTCCAAAATCGGTTTTTATTTTAAAGAAAACTTTGAACATATTTAATTCATTCCTAATATATACTGCAATATTTTACTTCTGTCCATGCTCAATGCTTTTTACATTACGATTTTTACAAATTTGAAATACTGTCTAACCACATTTTAAGAACAGTTTTAAACATATTTTAATTCATGTTTTAAACATATTGAAATTCATGTTTTTTTAACATAGGCCTATTTTAATTCATTTATTATATACACTGCAATATTTTACGTCTCTGTCCAGTCTCATTTCTTATTACTTTATGCTTTTTACAAATTTTAAGTACCGATTTCACTGTACTGGCTTATTGTACATTACTTGTTTAGATATTTTTAAACATATATTAATTTAAACATTTATTACTCACATTTCTGTGCAATTTATGTAAGGTTTTGCCCCGTCTCTTTTTTGTCATTTAACTTTTCACGATTTTAATGTTATAAATTTTAATCACTAATGCACTCATAACTGTAAAACCTCTATGAGGTTCAAATGAGCTCCAATTACATCAAGTATTTTAACATGAATTTTTTATCTACTATTTTGTTTTCTTTATGATGAAATAAATAAAGATTTAGTTGAACTGAATTGAAAGTGAAATGACATGCAAACATGAATACCATGGTACAGTACCTCTATACATGTGGACATAAACTATTTTTAAACAAAAACAAACAATTCAGTCTTACATCAGAGTCCAAACTCTCATTTATTGTCCACTAAAATTCAGTAGGGAACAGGTGCACCAACGATGGTGTATAGTTGGCAAGGCGTCTCTATTATCTTAAAGAAATGACACACACAAAAGGGATTACAGTTATTAATTACCTGTATGAATTTACTACTATAAAATAAGTCATTCCAATTTACTACAACCATATTGCTTTCAACAGTAGAAACACTCAGACTAAAAAATAATATTAGTTACAGGAAACATAAGAAAAAAAAAAGAATTAAAAATCTCTTCCCAAGCATTTGGTTTAATGTTCATCCCAAAATGCTGAACACAGAGACAGTTGTGGCACCAGCAAATGGGCAATTGGCTGTCATGGTGAGTTATGCTTTGTTTTTTGACAAATACCAGTGATGATATTTTTTTGCATATTTATAGAGGGTGACCCTTCCAGCGTATCATAGAAGGTCGGCTGATATTCAGGGCCTTAAATAAGTTAAAATAATGTGATGCTTTTTCATCAGGGAAGTCTCTTTAGGAGGGAGTGGAGTTGTTTTAAGTCGTGAGAAAAAGCTTTACATTAGATGTACTGTAAGCAATTTAATCACTAACCTATTCAACTCCACTCCATATACAGGCATGAGAATGTCACAGCACATCCATATATGGCCAAATCACAGGTATTTGTCATATGTATAGTGTGGACAGAGTTGGAGATATATCTTCAATATTTAAGGACCTGATGGATTTACTAGAGTCAGTACTCTAAATACTCTGCTTTGCACTCAATATTTAATCAGTTTCAATAATACGTTTTTATGGTGAACTTCTAGTAAATAGACCCAAAAGTACACATTGATTAAAAACTTAAAAAAAAAAACAAACCAAAATACTATATATATTAATGTATCAATAATTATTAGTCATGATTACATTAATACATGATGTATATTAGGCATAGATGTACACTATACACAATCATATTTCATTGCATTGTCATTAATTCATTTCAAATAAATATCCTAAAAGTCCAATTTATTATCGTGATTCGGCATGATCAACATCCGACTCAATACTGTTGTAAATCAATACGAAAATGAGACACATCATTTGGTATATTATAAATACTGACCTAAAGATCGGATGATGCATTACAATCTTGCACACCTTGCTTATGAATATTCATTATTAGCAATGACCTCTATGGATACCAATTGGATGAGTTCATCCACACAATTATTTTTAAATAATCATTTTCTACAATTTTTAAATTTAAAATAAAAATACAGTAATTGATCTGAAAGTAATTTATACATCATGTTTTTTTCTCTTTCTACATATATTATAGTTGGTGATATTTACAAATTGTACAGTCTTGGTTACAAACACATACACGCACAGCAATCCACTTACACACACTTAGAGGTAGTAGCAATACGCCTCTAAATAATCTAATTTTTACAAGTTTTGCTACTTCCGTAGCACTCATTTCAATGTCTTATTCTACTAGAATATGCACATCCAAATTGAACCTGATGATGTTGTGATGAATACAACTACCAATCACTGATAAATTATAATTCATGAAAGAGTGTAAAAAATAAAAACATATTTAAAATCTTAATGAACACAGTGGCAACTATTTAACTGATATAAAGAGTCTTTGTTGTTTTAATTACAGTTTAATTACCTGTAATTTGGAAATGTCCTTCATTTTCAAGTGAAAGATTTTAATAACAGCACATTGCATAACCACTGGCATTGTATAGAGGGCACCTGGTGATATGGAAATGAACAAGGCTCTATTCTAACACTGAAGCTATATTTTAAGTATATTCCTAAAGTAAGACAGTTAAATTGTTCTAGCTGCAAATTTTCCTAATAGAAATTACACAATTATATTAATTTTTGGTTTAGTTTTACCTAATTTATTATTAAATAATAATAATAATGTCATTTTGTTACGCGCACGTATCCATTCCTAGTAGGGGTGCTCGTGGCGCCGTTTTCCACCTGCCGAGTGTACATGTAGCCATTTTCCGCATTATTATGTGAATTAATTAATTTTAATTATTTATTTAATCTTAATGTATATTTATTTATGTCGGACCAGACATGGATGGGAAAGATAGGCAAAATAAGATGCAAATATACTCCTGTCATGTTCCTTATTATTTATTCAAAACATTTTATTCATATTCTATAGTTTTTTTTTGTTTGTAATCTCTCCATACCTAAAGAAATCCATGCAGAAACATTGGTAATTTGGGACCTGTAATAATCAAGTGTTTATTATGAGGGGGTGCCCTAGGTATCAGAAAGCTGACACCTTAAACCACCAAGTCACAGTTCCATTCCAAATTTGACCAATCAGGTAATGCAACACTTGCTTAGTGTTACATAACTGACCAATCAAGAAATGCAATACTTGCTTGGTGTGTTATACAGTTGATGTTTTACCAATCAGGTAATGTGATGACACAGGTATCACTGGATGTATATCATTCTGTATAAAAAAAAAGAAAGACAAATTGTAATGAAATATTTTGCTGCATATGCAATACTATTAAGAATAGTACATTCAATGGTGTACATAGGAATCTTAAAATGGGGAGGGGGAAGCGAAGGTGAAGTGGGGACGTGATCATAAAGTGAGGGGGAACTCACAAAATAAGCTATTATGAGGTGATTTTTATCTACTTAACTTGAGCATAATTTTTTTATTTTATTTTTGAACATTTCTAATGATTTGGGGGAAGGGGGAGAGCTTTCAGTTGCATGCACATGTCATGCTCTGTTTAACAAAAGGTCGTTTGTGTCAAGTGCTCTGAGATGAATGTTAAAAAACAGTCCAAAATGACAAATCAGAGTGCATCATCAATTTTACACACTTGTAACATTTTAGCATAAAATAGTAGCAGTGTAGCAGTAGCAGTAGCAGTGCATAAATTTTCCTGAAAGGGAGAGAGGACTAGGCTGACTAACAAGGGGGTCAGACAAATTCCAACTGATACCAGTGGGATCTTCGAGTGAAGCCTAGGAACTGGGCAATTTTTAGGCTGTTAGGAGAAATTTCAGCAGAAACTATGCCCCACAAGATTATGTAAAAATTTCACAATCCCATTAAATCCTAATGTCTATAGAGCAGTACATAGTTACTAACTGTAATAGTGAGTGTTATTGCTGCTGATGTGAGCAATGTATAATTACCTGAGTTTTCCTTCTTGTGATGAAGTCTGCTATTCTTGTTGTGTCAAGCTGTTTTGATGGCGAATCAATGGTTGAGTTTTTAGAGACAGTCTTTATCCATGGATGCTCCATACTATCTTTTGCCGAATTCCTTTCACTGAATAAAAAAAAAGGGGAAAAAACATATAAATGCAAGGAAATAATTGATAGTTTGGCACACAGACAGTGGCTACAGCCAGTTTAGCTGCTCTGATATACAGGAAAAAGAATACTGTACTAGTTTACCTGATTTCCAGAAGAAGCAAAGCTGATATGAATTTTTTGGCTACTTCACTGATGTCACCAAAATATTCATCAGGAAAACAGTAGTCAACCTTTGTCACATTTAGGCATGTTTCTTCTACACTGTCATCAAGAAATGGCGACACGCCACTCAACCTAACAAAATATTAAAATAATGCTCTATATGTATATGAAATATAAGTGTAAAAAATAATGTCAAACAGATAATAATACAAAGATATATACTGTACTGTGGTATTGTAAATATTCATGCATTTTAAACACACATTGAATACTAATATCTTAAAATTATTTATTTATTTATTTTGAAATAAAAATACAAGATGGTAGCCCAGGGCTATACAAAAATGTTTGCATTACAACTGCAAATAGGCTATCAAGTCTTATTGGTAACACATTATGTTCACCATGTTTAAGTACGATTATCCAAAGCTGAACTTGCTAGGACTGAAACCAGGACCTTAGGAATATAATATATGTGTGTATATATATACTTTTAAATATTGTTAATCAATTCTATATGTTGTATATATTTTATATATTTTTGTTATGTTTAAACTGTACCACTTTAAAAATCAGTGCAATAGTACTGGAGGTGCCTACAGTATAAAGAAAGAATAAATAAATAAAGAATAAATAAATAAATAATAAATAAAGCAAACACCATTAATCCTTAGCTCTCCTCGATTGCTTATTCACAACCACTACTCTAAAACATATTTTGTTGAATAAGCAGTTAAAAAACACTAACTTACATTACATATGTCAGCACACCAAAGCTCCTGAAATAAACAGAGGATAAACAATTATAGTGGGATTACAAATTTATCACATATACAATAAGATTTCATGATAGTAAATGAATATGCAAAAGTGGCAGGAAAAGTGCAGACAGGATCTCTAAGAAGATTAAAACATAATTCTATATTCTACATACAATGAGATCTTAATTTAAAGCAAAACATTAAAATACTGTATCAATAAATAAGTAATACAATTAAAATACTGTAGCAATGAAGATGAAAAATTGGTGGAAGTGATGAAATTTATCTTAATTATTGTTATTATGCGATATTTATTGTGTTTTCTAAATTATAATTCTATGTATTAATTCAAGGGTCTTGGCTTAAAAACTTTGCTTATTTTAGTTCACTTTTCCATTAATCTTGAATCAGACATATACATTTTCTTTGTTCCTCAGAGCTATGTATTTGTTCCATGCATATTGTTCAAATGACCAGAGTTTTAATGTAATCACCCAGGCCTTATTAGTATGTGCAACAAAAGACCAACATTAACATGCATACTAACCACATATCAGTATTAACATCAATGTAGTACTTGTTGATGAGTTCCGGTGCAGCAAACTCAGGACTTCCTTGTAACGTGTGGATGTAGTGTTTATGGTCAATGTGAACAGAATCGCCAAAATCAATCAACTTTAACACCGGACTCATGCTGCTTAGATCTACCAGAATATTCTCAGGCTGAAATACGGAATTATATCATTTAGTTGTTTGAAAAACTCTGGTGTGTTTCATCAGTTTAATTATATTCAGTAGTTCTTAAGTAATTTGTTTTGATACTATATTTATGTGTCTGTTAACTTTTGTGAACGTTCAGAGCAATTTCTGTTCCACTGTAATTTCCTAAAGGACAAATATCTGTCTCTTATACACATCTTGAAGCCTAGGAACTGGGCAATTTTTAGGCTGTTAGGAGAAATTTCAGCAGAAACTATGCCCCACAAGATTATGTAAAAATTTCACAATCCCATTAAATCCTAATGTCTATAGAGCAGTACATAGTTACTAACTGTAATAGTGAGTGTTATTGCTGCTGATGTGACAGCAATGTATAATTACCTGAGTTTTCCTTCTTGTGATGAAGTCTGCTATTCTTGTTGTGTCAAGCTGTTTTGATGGCGAATCAATGGTTGAGTTTTTAGAGACAGTCTTTATCCATGGATGCTCCATACTATCTTTTGCCGAATTCCTTTCACTGAATAAAAAAAAAGGGGAAAAAACATATAAATGCAAGGAAATAATTGATAGTTTGGCACACAGACAGTGGCTACAGCCAGTTTAGCTGCTCTGATATACAGGAAAAAGAATACTGTACTAGTTTACCTGATTTCCAGAAGAAGCAAAGCTGATATGAATTTTTTGGCTACTTCACTGATGTCACCAAAATATTCATCAGGAAAACAGTAGTCAACCTTTGTCACATTTGCCTACAGTATAAAGAAAGAATAAATAAATAAAGAATAAATAAATAAATAATAAATAAATAAAGCAAACACCATTAATCCTTAGCTCTACTCGATTTGCTTATGCACAACCACTACTCTAAAACATATGTTGAGGAAAACTAACTTACATTACATATGTCAGCACACCAAAGCTCCTGAAAGAAACAGAGGATAAGCAATTGTAGTGGGATTACAAATTTATCACATATACAAATAAGATTTCATGATAGTAAATGAATATGCAAACATAATTCAATATTCTACATACAACTAGATCTTGAAGTAAAACATTAAAATACTGTATCAATAAATAAATGACATACAATTAAAATACTGTATCAATGAAGATCAAAAATTGGTGGAAGTGATGCAATTTATCTTTATTATTATGTGATATTTATTGTGTTTTCTAAATTATAATTCTATGTATTAATTCAAGGGTCTCTGCTTAAAAGTTTTGCTTATTTTAGTTCACTTTCCATTAATCTTGAATCAGACATGTACATTATGTTTGATTTTATTATGGAATAAATTTTACTTACAAAGGCCTGAAAGATGGGGTGTGGACATTAAAGATAATTTCAGCTGCAGTGCATTCACTTGACAAGGTGATGTTAGATGCAATTTTGCAATGACATGGCATACAAAAATGATATTTAATAATGCCCATCTTAGAACATTATGGGATAATGGTTCAGTTGCAATTCAACTATTTTCTTGTATCCCTTGGCAAGGCACTTTATCTATTATACACAATGTTGCTCTTTCTTGATCCTGGAGTACAAATGTGTACCTTGTAGATAGAACACCAATGCACTTACTACTAAATGGAGAATTATTGAATACTTTTTCTGAGAGCTATGTATTTGTTTAATAAGTATTGTTCCAATGACCAGAGTTTTAATGTAAGCACCTAGGCCTTATTAATATATGCAACAAAAGACCAACATTAACATGCATACTAACCACATATCAGTATTAACATCAACGTAGTACTTGTTGATGAGTTCCGGTGCAGCGAACTCAGGACTTCCTTGTAAAGTGTGGATGTAGTGTTTATGGTCAATGTGAACAGAATCGCCAAAATCAATCAACTTTAACACCGGACTCATGCTGCTTAGATCTACCAGAATATTCTCAGGCTGAAATACAGAATTATATCATTTAGTTGTTTGAAAAACTCTGGTGTCTCATCAGTTTAATTATATTCAGTAGTTTTTAAGTAATTTGTTTTGATACTATATTTATATGTCTATTAACTTTTGTGAACATTCAGAGCAATTTCTGTTCCACTGCAATTTCCTAAAGGACAAATATAATATGATTCTAATTATGATCATCATGGTTGCCATCGTTTTAATCCTGCTCCTCCTACTCACCATCAGGATCCGATTTTTTTTTTCAGGGGGGGGGGGGCGGTCACCACTATCATAAGATTTAAAATGAACTACAAACCTTCAAGTCCAAGTGAGCTATCCTACACGTATGCAGGTACACCAAAGCTTCCAAGACTTGCTGTAGATAGGTGGCTGCTTGCCGTTCACTATACACAGGTAACTTCACAATAAAATCAAACAGACGGCCATTTGGAACCCTGAAAGTCACAAGTAACCATATAAGTTATTAAGAGAAGATTAGAGTGCAAATTAGACACACTAAAGAAAGATTCATGTGTATGTTTTCCCTTGACATGGCCACAATCTTGGCCAAAATGTTACTATACCAGATTTGGGTGGAGTCGTGTGACATGCAAGTGATAATTTTAATTCATGCACAAGTATTCTAATTTGAATACCTCTGAGCATTTGAAATGGTTGTTTAGGATTCACTCCTGTAAAGATCCTATTTTCAAGTACAGTTATACTAGATTAATCAACCTAGAATTTTATGGTAAATATATGTCTGCCAAAACTTCATTTATGGCAGACATTTTTTTGTTGTTGTTAATATTAGACTATGAAATAACTGCTCAGTACCATACTTACAAATCTAGTATTAAGATCAACATTTGTGGTGTTTCAAAACAACTAATGAATGGGACAATGGAGGGGTGGAGGATACTTCTTAGAACAGCCATCTCACTCTCAACTTGATCTTTACACATAAGCTTCTTGGTGATGAACTTTGCAGCTACATCCCTTTGGTTGACACGGTCACTGCACATCCTTACTACAGAAAAACGCCCTCTGTATATATACACACACAATATATAATGTAAATGATTAGAATCAAGAGATTTCAATAATAAAATCTGCTAAATTCCTTAATATTTTAGATAATTATAGTCCAGATAATTAATATCTTAAAAGTTTCACAAATAATTTATACAGGTCCTGGAAAAAACATATTCTGTTTGATACATAATTATGAGTATAATCTTGTTCCCCTTGCCAACTCAAGTACAAGATATTTTGTAGGACATTTTTTAAAGAAAAACTTTATGAAGTAAGATAAACACACACCAAATTCTAGACACAGAGCTTCAATGAAATCCCATGCAATTTCTTAACTATTAACATGATCACTAGTGTATTTAATTTACAATTCAAAAGGGGAAGACTTAGGAGAAAACTTGTAATAGCACCCTCAGTTACACCATGGTTATCATGTACAAGTACAGTATATCTATAGAGGGCAGAAAACACATAAGTCTTACCTTCCAAGTTCCCCAAGAAGCACAAAATTGTCTTCAAAGTCTGTCCTCCAGAGAGTGACCAGTCCTGTCGTATTGGACACTGGTCCAACCATTTCAGGTAGGGTAACTGTTTCAGATGGCTCGCTAGGCAAACTAATCCCAACTTCATTGTTAGCACTGATACGAAACACATACATTCCCCCGGGAGTTAATCCTTCCACATGATATGAAAGGTCAACTACACACACGGCTACCACTTCCCATTTCACGGTAGATTTGCCTGCAAAGTAATAAATAATATAAAGTTATTAATAAGCACCAGAATTGCATTTTAAATATTAACTCATTATAATGATAATAATCTTAATAAATCATTTTAAGACAATCATTTTTATGAATTTATGTTTTCTGGAATCACACAGGGTAATCTTTCTGTTTTACTATTTTGAGTCATTGAAATAAAGATTATAAATATATAATTATCATTTTATTCCTTAATCATGAATCCATTTCTGTTTTAGTGAGCCTTCAATTAAAAAACATAAATCTTATAAATAATCTTGACTTTAAAATATTCCATCTTAAACTTATACAGAAACATAAAGAGGTGAAATAACATGAGACGCATTGGTCCAATTGAATCAATGAAACAAAGACCTAGTATATTGGACATGACGTTAGCTTTGGGGGGAGGGAACAGTTGGTGATGGTTCAAACCTCATTCTGTACATTTAGCTTGTGTTCTAGGTCAAGGCACTTTATGTTTGTATGGGTACCTGGTAGGATGTTGTGGCATTGAATATATTATTATGATTTGCCCAATATTGGCATGATGACTATTATGTCACACTCACATAATAATATGGGCAAATTACAGGTATCTGTCACGTACAATTTGAGCGTATGGAGAGAGATAAATAAATAACATAAAATACAATGTGATTACCTTTTTGAGCACATTCAACAGTGAATGCAGTGATTGAGCAGTTGCCAGTGTGTTCAGGTGGTTGCCATCGAATTACTACAGAAGTTGGTGTCTTATCATGGATGGTAGGAATACTTGGTGAGCCTGGCTTACCTGTTGAGAATTAAGGCATTAACTGTCAATCAAATACTATTATGAATTTCAGGTGCAGCATTCCCAGCCCCATTCCCGGCAAAATTACACTAAAAACTGATTTTTTTTTTATAGAAAATATGCATTTGCATTACTCCAATTATTATAAATCATGGAATAATATTGGCATGAATTTTAGGTTTACGCAAAAGAATAAAAAAAATGAGAAATACAGACTATTTCTCATAAAATATTACCATTTTCTCGACGAATTCATCGTTACTAGGCAAATTCAGAGGTTGTAGATCTCATCCACTGGAATACTCTCGCTTTTATGTATACTTTATACAGTCAATAATGTGCGCCCTTTCTAATGAGATTAGTTTTTGTACTTCGCATCTCGCACAATGCGGTCGTTCGATTAAGGCAGAGATATGTTTGTTTAAGTGTCAAAATCTCAGTCAGAATCAGTTTTTTAACAAATTTGAAATAATTCCTATGAAATTTTATATTTCACAAGTGTCATTACTAGCAACGGAAAATATCATGTCGGCCGTTTTTATGCGTGATAACAGAACCTAAATCGAGGTAAGGCTAGGCCTAGCCTAGCAGCGTTGGATAGGCTAATGTTTTCGGCGCCTACGATATTTCTTCTCACGACCTATCGCAAAATCAAACATTAAAATTCATCCGCATTTATTTTTTGTGTGGAACACAAAAAAAAAAATCAAATTTCAGTCTTATTTCACATTTTTTTCATTCTTAGGAATTTCTAAATTCCGTTAAACTAGCAATTCTGTATTATATTTATAAATCTTTATAACATTATACAAAAATTAGATTTTTCATAACAACTGAAATTTTGCCGGGAATGGGGCTTTAATGGTTCCAGATTAAACTGGTGTATGTTGGTGGTTACAACACGCATCACCCAACATTGAAAAGTCAGGACATGTCTTATCAAAAACAACTCCACTCCCCACCACATAAAACATTTGATTATACTGTATAGGACTTATAATCACAAATGATTAGCTTTGCTGTTAATATTAATTTTTACATATACTATAACATCATGGATAAGATTCATATTTATATTTCATAAAAGCAACAATTATCATCATCATAGAATTATAAAGACTTTATAAAGCAGAAATAGCAATATAAAGTACAGTAGCACTCAAACAAGTCCAAGTTTTGGAAATACAGTATTTACTCTGCAATTATCATTAAACTAGACTTTAATATCTTTCAAGCACTTCATATAGTAATTAATTTTAATTTAGACAGGAAATTAATGATTTATTACAATTTAAATTTTCCCTTCCTTCGGAAATTCCATCAAACACACATCATTAAACAAATAGAAAAAGATAAAGAATTTGAAAATTGTGAATCTTATTATTGTGAACAACACAGGACTTCACAGTACAGGGAAAGTGCAAAACATTAATCCACATAGGTACCTGGGAGGTTTCACTACAAATGCATTTATTACTAGCTATGGAATACAACCACACAAGGAAATGAGTTTCAAGGCTACTATATGTATAATCATGTAAATCACAGTGATGCTTTTATATTATTTCCAAAATTATTATCAGTATTAAGATAGTGGTTTAGGAAAGTGCTGTCGTAAAGAGATCGATAGGTAGAATGCCAATACCAAATTTGCCTTATAGAAGAGTTGATAGAGAAATTCAAATGCAAGTCAGGACCTGCAGTTTCAAATCCTGATGTGCATAACAAGCTTTACATTTACAATATTTGATACTGTAAACATTCAACAAGGGCAGCATAACTGTGAACATAATACCTTTTACTGATAAAATTGCACTTAATGATTTGGACCCAGCATCGTTACTTGCGAAGCATGTATATTTCCCACGATCCTCAAATGTACATCCAACAATTTCTATTACTGCTAGTCCATCATGGAGCTCAAACATACGAGTTCTGAAGTTCTGATGAAGTACTGAGTTGTCCGGTCCTTTCCAAGAGATGTTAGGCGTGGGTCGACCGATCACTTGGCAAGTAAAAGATGCTACTGAGCCCTCAACAGCACACTGGTTGAATGGCGGAATAACAAATTCTGGGGCAGCTGAGATTTAAAAAAAAAATTTTTTTCTTGTTACACCATTTAATATGTAATGAAAGTGAAATGTGCCAGGATTGAAATGAGAAACTGGAAATTGGAGGAAGGACATCCTAACCACAACTTAAAATGTCTATAACATTAATGTCCATGAATATATAGCCTGGATTTCAGTTCACTATTTCGGGTACAACACCGCCAGTGAAGCTAGCCTTATACTTGCTGTGGTACAGGTATTACAAAAAAAAAAGAAAGAAAATAATATCAACTTACCTTCATAAATAAAGTTTGGATGCAACAACTGAAATACAAATAGACAAAATAGGAATAATCACATCAAAGATCAATATGTAGAACTGTTTTTCCAAATTCAAAAATAATCTAAAAATAAATATTTATGCGCTGAATTGCTTATTTGAAACAGTCAATAACACAGGCTAAACCTCTGTGCCCACTAAGAAGTTTTCTTTGACAATAAATTGTTGTATGCCCATATATAGTCATGATGTGCCTATATATGGTCATGATGTGCCTATATATGGTCATGTGTGATGTCATCATGACCATATTTAGGCATGTCACAACTTTTTGTCAAATAAAATTTGATAGTCTGGAGAAGGCTTAATAATGAGGCACAGATCAAAACAATTCATTTTTTACCGATTTAAAAACTTTTTACAAAAAAAACTATAAAATTGATTACAAGACATTTTAGGGTGTGTTTCTATTGATTAGTAATCAATTTTTTAACCGCTTTTTTAAAGAGTGCCAGACAGCCTGCCCGCTTTACAACTGCATTTCTGCTTTTACGAAAATTGGTTTTTGCGGCGGAAAAAACACATTTTCCAAACTGTATAGTTTCTTTCTCGCCAACAAGACAATATACTTCATGTGAATTCCGTTCAATATGACAAGGAGGAGGATACGGTGTGCAGAGAGAAGGCGAATGCTTTTGGCTGTGCTTATCCGCAAGGACAACGGTAAGCACAGAAGAGGAGTTCGGCCTGAGCCAAACATTCCCCATAAAATAATAAAAAAACAAGTAATTTTGACACTCCACATTTGTTTGTTGACATTTTAGCTTGTAGGCCTAGGACATGAAAGAGAGGACTAGTGTGATAATTTAGAAAGTTCGCACTCGATACAATCTAGCTTTGCAGTGGTTTGCCCTGGCGGTCACATTTCACCTGCTAATCACTTATTTATCGGTTATTTCATGTTCAAACACACCATCCATTGCATGATTTTAATCGCTTTTTTCGAATTCTTCCCTTTTCTACTGCGAGAGAAAAACGATATTTAAAAAAAAGTGATTTTTAATCAATTATTTCTTTCCAATGTATACTGTAGTGTATAGGAATGGTATTAATTATGTCTGTAAATTACCAAGGGAAATATTTTTCTTTAATTTTCACTTGAAATTTAAAAACTTACTTCAATATGCAAAATTAGGAAACATGTATATTAATGTTTATATTATCCTTTATGTTATAACCTAAAAACAGACAGTATTTAAGTAATTTCCTCCCTCACCTGTAATGATACTTTGTTGGTTAAATTTGTTTCCCGACATTCGGATTTGCTCCTTCCTGTCGGTGTGACAACATCAATCTCATTTGCATACATACAGTTCTCGCAGAATTCTGAGGAGCCATGCCGTGATCTACAAATACAAAAATGAATTTTGTTACAAGGGAAGATAGGTATTTCATTTTGTGAACACCCACCCTCTTTAAGTTGTTTGGGTTGAAGGGAGCTGATATGCCTTGTGTGTAACCTCCCTCTGATAACAGTTGAACAAGGCTTAGCCTGTAAATTTGAGCAGCTGCATACTTTAGCAACACAAATAAGTACATCAGGTAATCAAGTGACTGATGCAACAAACAGAGGGATGAAGATCAACAGCTGTATCTAATGGAAACAAAAACATGAACGTCCAGGGGGAGTATATAATCACACGAGCATAAACGTGTCATTTACGCTGAAGTGGTATGCAAATATCAAAGACTACACCGAGGGAGTTAAATGGTAAAGATGAAGTTTGTTATGAAAAACATGAGCATAAATGTACAATTTCACAAAATGGGGTATACATAATATTGAAGCAGGGGAATAAATGAAGCAGACATCATGGCTAAAAATAACTCTAGTCATACATTATCAGATCTTTGCCTGCCAGATTCAACTGACAATGTTTGAATAAAATCAAACATATCTGATCAAAGAAAACATGTGTTGAGTCTGAAGGCAAAAATCTGACAGATACCACTGGTTTTAGCCTAAAGCTCTATCAACAAATTATATGTGACAAATATCTGATTCAATTTCAACATGCCCCTATAAGTATGTGATATGACATCATCATAACCATATAAGGAAATCACACATATTTGTCACATAAATCTTGATAGTGTGGTTTGAGCTTCATAGTTAGACTTTTTTACCATAATTTATCCAATGTAACAGGCATGTCACTTCTTGTTGATAGGGAAGTAATAAAGAACATTGTAGATACACTGCTCTTATGCTGATGGTATTAGTACTAGATATATAACAGATTTACTATTAGCTTTATAATAGATTTTCTAAACTGGCCACATAGAGTATACATCTACTACTAAGAACAATAGAAAATGTAGTTAAGATGGAAAATAAGAGGTACAGTATGGTACATTAGAAGCAAAATTGGTAACTACTGCATGCATTTTCCAATTGACAATAAGCAAAATATCAACATGATAACGTTCAAAATAGACAATTCAATGTGAAAAAAAAATCATTCAAAAATGAACAGATGAATGTCATCAAAGTCTAGGTTTTGGTAATTACAAATTCAAATAAACAAAACCAACTTTAATGAACTTTAGCTTTAAACAGAAATTCCTGGAAGGACATGGATAAATAATAATTTCCAGGCCTATATGAACTAAATTACTGTCATACAAAGCAAAGTATATAGTGCTAAAATTAATATTTAAAATTCTTTCATCCATAATGAAAGCTTAAGTGAGTATGCAAATTAAAAATTATGAATATATAAATACTTTATATACAAATTACTTTACATCATGCAAACTAACATAGTAATAGCAAATGAAGAATTTAGACAAAACATTCACTATAGGAATTAATCAGGAATGAAAATTCTGGTACAAAAATGGTCTACTATATATAATTTGCTATCCAAATTTGTCTTTCGTTATTATTTTAAATGGAAATTCTAAAAAGATAACATCAGAATTTTCCTTCCCTTCAACATGATTATACACTACCTCAAGTGATTGAATCTACTTCATGAATGAGAACCATAAAGTGTTAGAAATTATGTTGATTAATGCTTGAATTGAGATCTATAATCTATGTTACAATCAATTATATTAGTTAATTGTTATAAAGCAGCAAGTGTTGTCATCTTCACCATCTATCCAACAATATCTTGTACAGTTCTTCCACTTTACACTAAAAACAGCTGATACATCAAGGTGTGTTTCTCTTGGTACCAGAATTACATAACAGCTTCGGATGAATATCTTCACTAAGAAAATCATCTCTTCTTCTTCGAACATTAACTGGTACAGTACCACATTAGGTAAATAGCTCTTGATGAATATCTTCCAAGAAAAATCTCCGCTCTCTCCTCCAAACATGAAAGATGTTGAAAATCAACATCTATCAATGGTGAATTCAGGATTAATATAATCTCCAAGGTAGCGCAAACATGTTTTCATGTGTTAAGTGATTTTTAAACAAAAATTGAACAAAACGGATTGTACCAATACATCATTTCAGGTTAATAACTTGGTTTACTTTATTTGCATAAATACACATTTACCTATATTTTGGTGCTGACTGTAGCACATTATAATAATAGTACCGTTATCAGATTATTTATATACAATCTACAATATATGCTAACTGTATATATTCTGTTGACATAAATCGTAAACTACAATATACATATTCATTAAATATCGGCACATATGTCAAAGGTTACTGATTATGTGACCATTTGTCAGTTACCGTAACTATGACCTCACTTAAAGCAATGAAACACCTTATGTTTTATAAATTTTTCTTACACCTTTTAATTAAAATTTTTTCTCTCCGATTTCAATTTAAAAAATGAATGTTCTTGGTTATTATTTTGTTAAAACACTTTAATTTAAAACAAGGTTTATTAGTTCTTTTTTAATATTTGGAACCATCTATCCACAACTCAACAAAGCTGTGGAATTAGATCATGCAACCATTGGCAGAGGACAGGCTTAAGGTCATTATTCTTGGAGTCTATTATGCAATGACAAGGAGAAAATCATTAAAGAATAGTTCATCAGACCCATTTCATTGTCTGACTTTTAAACCTGACTGTTGACTCTGTATTAGTTTTGGTTTTACTGAGAACCCTTTTATGGATTAGAATTAAGAGATTTGTTTTAGACTGTTTTGAATAGAAAATACAAGATTGATCTTAAAGTTAATTCTAAAGATCTCTCTCACATAATTAATTCACTTAGTTTCAAAACTGTGATTTAAAAGAAAGTTTCAATATATGATTCTTATAATTAATTTCATGTCTTGGATTTCAAACTCTGAAAGGTGTAATAAAGAATGAACATAAAATATTTGAAAGACAGTTTATTTTCTGGATTCAAACTCACATTTAAGTTACAATTTAAATATTGGTAAAATGTAAACAGATAGTAAAAAAGAGCTTGGTAATTATGATACAATTCTCTTATCTACAATGAACCACATGTTTACATTATAATAACCATACCAAGATAAATAATGTCCATGAAATTTTCTGTTTTTACAAAAAAAAAGTTTTGAAGTTAATAAATTTATCAATTTTGTAAATCTAAGTGGGATATCTCCTAAATAATATCAAATGAATGACTTCTAAATTTAGTTGAAAGTAAAATATTTTTACCTTTTTTTTCAATGAGGTATCTTAAATATTTCTTGGAATTCTATCATAATTTTGATCGTTTTTTGTACATCGATTAAAACAATTATCTTATTTAAATTTGAATAATCAATTTAAATGTGGTTTGTCTTCTCAAGACAAGATAAAATGTTCATTGCACAAGTTAAATATTAACCTTCCAACCAATTTCTATACAAACTACAGTATCAACCATAAAAACATCACTCACATTATATGTACAAATTGGAAATAACACACAAACTTTCAGAGTAAAAATTGTGTAAATACATATCAGCAAGAATAAAACACAAAGAAAACATAAAAGCAGTTATAAAAAAAAGGACGTAGAAAATATACAAGTTGAAAATTAAAGTAAAAAATAATACTTGAAATTCCAAACTATGTGACATTAAGAGATTATATTAACAGTTGTTGGTCAAAGGTTAACAATTACTTGACCATTCATCATTTACCATAACTATGACCTCACTTAAAAGCAATGAGATATTTGTTTTAGGTTATGTTAACATTAGTTTTCAAAACATGTTATGTATTTGTATTAATCACACTAGCAGAGGGGGTATGCTCACTGCATTCAACTGATACATGAACCATGATGCAAGTTCCATGTAAACTATTGCATACAGATTAGTCAATCATGTGTATTTGTTGTATTCTTTACAAATTTAAATTAAAAACTCATAGATTCAGTTATCAAACTACAGAACACATAGCGTCAAAAGCAACAAGGGCATTCAATTTGAAAAACTAACGAGAATAGTCATTTACAGGCTAAAAATAATTAGCAATCAAATTCCCAAACCAGCAGATAGGGCAAGTTAACATATCATGCACTAGTCTTCTATTTTGGCATACTAATTAAAACCATTATTATATATGGATGTAGTGAAATGCTGTTATTTTAATGTGCATTCTCAATTATATAACTTGAAATCCCAACTCATCTGGATTGTAACAATCTGATTGATATCGTTATCTGAGCCCGATTATTTCAAGTGCCTAATTGTCCAGTCATGAACTTGTGAACAATGACCAATCTTGCTTTTACATACCATGGAGGTATAAAAAATACATTCATGCACATACCAAGTGCCTCTTGATAAGAAACCCAGATCTACTTGAGTGTAACAGTAACTCTGATATACAGCGAATTGTTTGGCAAGTAGAATTAAACAGAAAATATTAATGAAAGTGATTTAATAAATGTGTTAAAAAAACAGAACAAATTACTAACAATAACGCTTACAATAATACCTGCATAGATATCTAGATATGATTAAAATGTTTCTGTATTAAAAAAATTGTCAATAATAATAATATACTTTAATTTTAAACTTGAGATTAAAAAAGTTTCTTAATAACTGTTCATAAAGATTCCCCACCCACTCCCAAAAAAAAAAATCTAAAGAAAACTACTAGCTGATATGAGAAAGCCAAAACAAATCTAGGTGGTGCAGAAAAAAATGAGAAGAAAACTTATATTCAAGAAATGCATGTCGCCACACTCTGATATATGAATCATGTCAGAATACAAGAAATTTAATTTCTAGTTGGTATTTCAGTTTGTATACTCAATAGTTATCACCTTTTTCCCTTTCTTGACAAGCTTTGAGAGCTAACCACTGCATATCAAAGGTGAACAATCGAAAGACTGTTTTATAAAATCTACATAAAATGTGTTTTGTAAATTGTTATTTAACAAGCCCGGCATTATGATAATTGTATGTAGCATATTTGGTGATTTTATATTGTAATTTCGATATATCATCAGTTATTTATAGATGTATAGTAGTATTTGTTGATTGGTTAATCATAATTTTAACTATTATAAAACTAAACTATTTCTATGAGATGCCAAAATATCCATCAAAGAGGAACCTTTTAACAAATACCATGTTTGAATAAAAAGTCTGAATATATTTTAGTTTTTAGAATTTTAATAATACGGTAGTGTTTATTATACTCCAATCTTTGATACAACTGATTCTGGGTTGTAAACAGTGTATCTCAGAGATACTAAACAGAACAGTTTTATCTGAATTATGATTATGTTATTATCATTAAACTGAAATAAAATTAGATTAAATTTAGTCAGAAATTATTTCTAAAGAAGGTACATTAGCAGACAAATGCCCTACTTTAATTAACAGATTTCTTAGCTATTTTAACAAGTGTCTTTGGTAATGTACCTTTTTTAGAATGTTAAGTCAACATTTTAAAATCTAATCAAGTATTTGCTTATCCAATTAATTTACAGCTTTCAAGATGCACAACCGACTTGCCCAACCAAGTTAAAGCTTCTAAGAGTATTAATGTACAAACCTCTTCCCAGTAGTTGTAAATTTCAGTGAGTTATTAAAGCAACAGAGAAAAATTAAGTAGAGCATTCACCAGAGATGACTAGCAGATGTATGGACAAAGCAAGGCATTGGTTTTCTTACTTAGTACAGGATTCGGCTTGAAGCTGTTCACGCGTTGTCCCAAGTACATGCGCCGGTATCCATCCCTCGGCTGCCGGTGAAACGTCATTGGCGGGCCGGTGGACTAAGAACATATCGTGCTGATTGGCTGCCAATATTTGCACTGTTTCTCCTTTAGCAATGCTAATCTCGTCCTCCTTGACGGCATTATAAGTGGTGATCACTGATGCCAGACATGGTGAGTTCTCACTCTGTTTTACAAGAAAATAATCCACCAATAATTTGAAAGTAAAAAGAATGTAAATTAAGCTCTTTCCATACTATCAATTTTTATGTAAAATAAATGTGATATGCCCATATTTGGGTGTATATGGCATCATTATGCCCATATATGGGCACATCACACACATTTTTCACGTACAATTTGACAGTGTGTACAGATTATTTTAATTTAATCATTAACAGGATTTTTCTATTTTGCTAGCAAAATGCTAATATTATCATATGTTTGTCTTATCATAACAAGGCCTTTGTGACCTACACATTATCCCGGTCATTTGATTTAACACTATGGAGCTTTCGGCTGCACGATGACGGTAAGAAGCAGAAGGTAATGACATCACTAAAAGTCATCTGCGTATGCGAGAGCGTTAAGTTCTCCTCGTCGCATGGATTCTAGGACGCAATTTGGCCCAATATACCTATGCAGAGAACGCAGGACGCCAAGTAGGATTGTCACGCATGAGTAATTCCGTTATAGCGCTGTGTCGTCCAACAAATCGAAAGCTCCCTACTTATGGAACACATACTCAGCTCTCTTGGGATGAGTTCCATTATGTTGCATCTAGTAATCACAACATTTATAACCTACAAGGTACCCAGGTACTGTAAATACTTGGGTGGAGAAACAAAATGGATAAAGTGCCTTGCTCAAAGAAATGGAGAAATGGTCGGCTTCAAACTTTAATTTGATCTTTCGATTGTAGGCCTACCCCTTGCTGCCCCTCTACATGTTCTCAAAATGAATTTGTACAGTAAACACACAGTAAAATTGTTAGCCTCTAGAAATTTCTAACTTTTAATGAAATATTTTAATAAGCTAGCTAGCTCTGTAAAACAACATGTATTTTTTTGGTATAATTGTGCAGACTACCTACATACCCATATTAAATCACAAACTTTTAAAACTTCAATCTTTGTTGCAAATGATAATCAGTCTTTTTATACATATTATTGTTCACACTATATAACTAGTATTTTCTTTTACTCACACCATCAAAGACATCTTCAGAACTTGTAGCTGAAGCACAGCTTGAGCGGTTTTGTTTATTTTGAATATTTGCCTCGTTGAATGCTCTCTCTTTTATCCTTAATGACACATTGTCAGTTAATGTCTTTCGTGAAACAGGAATTCCACTCTCCTTCGAACTAGATCCACTCCTGTGTTCAACAGGGCTTGGTGAACCATTTACACTATGTTTACTAGTATCTACTGGGCCAGAGCCTCGGTGAGTTTTTGCAGTTTTGGTTGGACTATCACTTCGTGATACATGACCTTTTGGTACAGGAATCCTAGATGGCTTATTATTGTTGACAAGAGATTCATGATGGCTAATGCCAACAAGATCAGAATGACTTGAGATTGGGGACGGCGACTTACTGCTCCCTTTCCCTAGACTCTCTTTCGATGATAAAACATCTTTATATTGAGAATCTCCAGATCCCCTGGATTTTAGACTTTCTTTTGATCCTACGGGAGAATTCTCTTTTGATTTTGACCAAAACATAAAGCCGTCAAAGAATTTCTTGCGTATTGAAGGTGAATTTTCTCGATCTAAATGTCCAACATCTGGTGATTTAGGACCGTCCTTTCTGGGCACTTCTAAATGTTCCTTATTCTTTAATTCAAAGACAGAAATTGCAGCGGGGGCTGTTGTGTGTTTGCGCCGTTCACGTTTTAAACTTGAATGTTGTGTTGCATTAATATTATCATCTGACCCTTCTTCAGAGTCTTTTGAAGTTTGACTACTTTGTGACTTGCGTAGCTTCAGAAAATGTCCCTTTTTGGAGTCCTTACTAGATTTTGTCGGTGACGAGTAACTAGGATGTAAAGAGAAAAAAAAATTAAGTGTACGTAAACTTTCTGAAATAAATTAAATTTAAAATCAAGCTGTACAAAATTCAATTTACGTAAAGGGCCTTGCCCAAGGACACAGACAAAATGCACGGCAAATGATTTGAACTCAGGGTTGAGAACACAAGCTACAGCTGCTGCCCCAATCGCTCTCACAAAGTATTGGATGCTATGTTGTTAACAATGTGTGATATGTGTATATTATATTTTTCTAACAGCAAGCTTATATATCCAAGTAAGGAAAGACAACATGTAACTGTTAGCTTATTAAAGTAGACACCATAATGTTGACAACTCACCCAAATTTATTTGGACTACTTGATTCCAATTCCTTCTGGTATTCTATTGGTGACTGGATTGCTACAAATACATCAAAATTAAAAATAGACATCTCATAAATTTTATATATATATTGAACCAAAATAAATAATAACATCACCATTCAAATCATAATGGGTCATCCTTAAATATAGATGATTAAAAAATATAAAACATAAATAAGTAGTAATAATAACTGAATCAAAAAAATAGTCATGTTGTTTACTGACCTCTGAGAAAGTCATACTGTCTGTTTAGCTCTTTCTTGATGTAATGTATCCATGTTGATTTTAATTCTGGTGTACTAGCTTGGATGGAGAATGTTTCTGTTCCTGCTTGTGTCTTTACTCGTAAACCAAACTTCAATGGATCATCTTCTTGGTCTAGTAAGGACATAGTGTTTATCTATTAAAAGAAAAAATAGGAATAAAAGATGAAGGAAACCTTAAAAAGAACACCTCTCATAAGGAAGTTGTCTCCCAACATGGATACAAATTAGTAAGGTTTAAGTGCTTAAAAATTTTTTTTTTAGTGGTAATCGCCCGAAACAAGGCTAATGAAGCCACTCAAAGTAAGGGGTTACTTATTTTTAAAAAAACAGGTTCATGAGAGACTTGAATTGAGAAGGTCCATAAACAGAAGGAAAACAGTCCTGAATTCAATGCGAAACATAACGACAGATGTACGCATGTGAAAAGGCAACAGTCTGAGCTTTTGAAAGAACGAGCGTCAGTGGATGGGAAGTGAGAGCAAGACGAGTATGTCTTACAAAAGTGCGCCGTTGTGGCAAGAGATAACATATCCTCAGAACAATGATTAAACAAGATGATAGAGTAAACTTAAACAGGTTGCAGAATATTAAGGACATCCCCCCACACCCTGCTTCAAATGTGAAATCAAACCTTAGCACTGTTCTTGAATATGTATCCTGGGTTGCTGAAGTCTTTCTTCTTTTCTAACGGTTCACTGAAAATGATGATTTGTTCAAACATGAACACCCTGCGTTCTTTCCATTTTGCGGTCCCTACTCCTTCCGACACTAGAAGTGTGTCTTGGAATAAAAGATTGCCCTGTGCATTGATTTTACCCTGTCAACAAATCAAGTAGAGAGTCATTTTCACATGGCAAAATCAATAAATGGCCGACAACTACTAAGTGCAAATAATTGATTTGTGCTTTGGTATTTCAGGATGCGGAACATGTTTGGTGATTATATTCAGGCATGAACTCCTTTCCAAATATCTAGTTTCATGTTTAGACCTAATTGCCAACAAAATCTGTATTGCATAATAATACAAAATATCATGAGAAAAATGTCTCCCTACATGGGAAACTTCATAAGCATACATTTCTACATTACAGCTCAATCGGTGGACTAACTAAATGTTAACGAAAACAATACAATGCTTAAGATGAATTTTTTTTTCATATCAAATTATTAGGCTCTATACACAATCAAAGTAATACAGTATGTATGAAATGTATATGAGTTATCCATATTGGACATCATGATACCATATCACATCAATAGATGAGAATGATGATGTCATATTATACCCATATATGGGCAAATCATAGGTATCATCACATATGAAGGTGATAGCATGGATAGAGATTTACAGATGATAGCATATAGAAATTTATTGTAATATTTAATGAATAAAAGCAAAGAAATTCATAGCATTAAAATTAATAAGGTACCACACAAAACCAATATGAAGAAGGGTTTACAAAATTGCTACACTTCTTGAATAAAGCACAAGTGTCCATCATAAATAAGTAGCAGCAACCAATCAACAGAAAAGTTGCATCAATGTAACTGATTAACTGACATGTTTGTTTTAAAGTAACCACTCATCCACCAAACGAATTAAACAACCAATCAGATGACAATATTCACATTCAAGTTTTACTCACATCCCATCCTTGAAGTCTACCTATTGCCATCATGTCATTAGCTTGTTTAGGCACCACACACATTTTTTCAATAGCACCCTGGAGGTACAAAGTAAAGAAAAATAATCATAAGCATATTTAAAAGAATCATTGTCTATGTTAATTCTATTAATTCTAATAGATCTTTGCCAGTATGGTCGTCAGTCATTGCCCCACTGATTACCAAAATGACTATGATAGTTCAAGAAGGGTCACTGACTGTAGATGAAATTTGCCAATGATCAAGCTAGTTCCGAAACGGACATACCACATAGCAAGGTGATGCTATCAGCAGCAGTCATAACTAGTGTGATTAGGTACAATAAAATAATACTATAATGTTGATAATTACAAGAGTGATGACAATAATAATACTAATAACAATTATTAAATCCTTACTTCAAGATCTTTTGTGTCTTCATTTGCTTTCTTTGTTTGTTTCAGTATATCCTGCAAAAATTAAAAGCAAATAGTCAGACCATAACATTATATTATTTCTTTATATCCTTTACTTATTTACATATCCCTTCAAAGTCCTTTATCATTATTATTTATTTTCATCCAATTAATAATCAATTAATTAGTTTTTGTTTTCTTACTTACCTCTGTATTTTATGATTTGTTTATTTTTGTTCTTTATCAAATAGAACAAATAAAGTAAATAAATAAGTAAATAACAAATAGTATGATCCAAAGCATTATGTTCAGTACCTTCAGTATAAGTTGGTATTTCATTAGCCTCTGAACTGGTTTAATCAGTAAATCTGCCAAATTCAGCTTGTGCCCTAATTTGACTCTCAACTCCTCAAAAAATGATTCATATTCAGATACAATGTACTCAGATTTTGGTTTATTCTGGCAGTAAAGAACATACATCTGAAGACGTCTATGCTGTTGGACACAAAATATTATAGCAACGTTAATAAATATGCACAAGCATCAAATAATATCCAGAATATATATCATGAATATGCACGAGCCAGTATTATAAATCATGAATATGCATTATGAATTATAAATATATATTCTGGTTGTAAAGAATGTACATCTGAAGACGTCTATGCTGTTGGACACAAAATTATCACAGTAATGTTAATAAATATGTAAACATCAAATAATATCCAGAAACCAGTATTATAAATCTTGAATATGCATTATGAATTATAAATATATTATTCTGACGGTAAATAACGTACATCTGAAGACATCTATGCTGTTCGACACAAAATTATCATAGTAATAATAAATATGCCAGCATCAAATAATATCTAGAATATGTGTCATGAATATGCACGAACCTGTATTATAATTCATGAATATCCATTATGAATTATAAATATAGTTGGGAATAAGCCAGTTTAGATTATTAATAATTTTTGGTAATATGAAACTGAATATATACTATGCGATAATATCAACAATTGATATGAAAGTTGTCAACAATGTTCACTGGTGGGTAATCAATTTGTGGCTGATTTAATGAGACTAATGAGGATTACTAATTGTAATAATTCAGCCAATCATAGCAAATGTAACCTCTAATGAAGAACAACATGAAATCTTTTAATAATGTAAATGTAATCCAAATTAGGTAGCAATAATATTTTTTCATTGTTTATGTGAAACAGCTGGAAACAAACTGCCTATTTATCATGTTGTACAGTTCTAATGCATGTATCAAGTTATAATTTGTAATTCCATTTTCATAAATTAAATCCTTTCTTTTGTAAATCTCAATTTACTGCAAGTGGTACATAGTACTTAAGTATCAAATAAAATACTATATAAGTATCAAATAAAATACTATATAGTATCAAATAAAATACTATATATTTTTTAAATAACTTAATCCAATCATGGCATTTCAAATATTTCAAAATGGCTGACATGTAGTTTAAAGAAGTGTGAATATGTTTTACGAGTTTTTCTACTGCTGGCTAATTGTCAGGGATTTTCAAACCACATCCCCCACCAAACAAAATGAGGTCAGGACCTTGTTCTCCGGTAGGAAGGATGCTAAAAATATATTTTTCTTTTACGTGGCCTTACAATAACCAAAGGAGTTATTATTAGCTTGTAATGTTAATGGAAAAATTTATATTTTACTTACATATTTCAGAAAAAGCATTCCTAATAGGTATGGTTCTTCTAGACATTTTTCAATTTCTATTTGGAATGTACTGAAACAAAACAAAATTTTGGCACAATTTATCAGAGGTGAGATTTAGATTTCTATAAATTCAATACATAACATTCAATAAATATATTAGTAGGCAATTCATTTTTGATATAAGAAGTACATGAAACTAATAAATAGAAACTCAAGCATAACATTATTTAATACTCATAAGTTTAAACACTGTTAAATACCATTATTTATTTTCAAAATGTAAGATATTGATTTTTTAAAAATCTGAAAATAGATTATGCATGTCAGGTCAAAGTTCAAGAAAAGACTTACTCTCGGTGCCAATCATAGATCTGGTGGATGTTACCAAAGACGATCTTCATCTTTCCTTCCTCCATATCTGGGGGTAAATTCCCTTCCTTCATCGTTTGCATATAACCCTAGTTAAATATACACATGGAAAATGCTTGCATTTATTTTTTTTAATACAAAAATATTTCAGTTTTCAGTTCATTTATTTATCAAATACACAGTAAAATAAATAAAAAGAACTAAGCAGTTGCCAAGGGCATAACATTAACAATTTGAAGGAAAAAAATATTTAAAAAAATTAAGAAGAGTTAAAAAGAGAATGAGATAGTACGTATTTGAGAATGAGTTTCTTTAGAATGAGTTTCTTTTGTTATGTTGGTACATGCTGAAAATGATCTGCATAGGCCCAAAAAAAGAATTAAAATTGTGTATATTACAGTGGATTTATATGTCAGTCATTAAGATGGTATGCAATGGTCAGCAAAAATATAAAGAGAAACTAATATATTTTTTTACTTGGCCTAATACATATATATAGGGCATATAGATAGTAATTACTTTCTCCAGGTATGGGATGAGCTGAAGATGCTACAAGTTGAATCTAATTAGCTGGACCATTGTACATAATGTAATAACACAGTATGATTTTAAAGCCAAGCACACACTGCAATGGCTGACGGTTATACAACATCATTTTACGAATTCATTTCCACTCTCCATGCAATGCTGTCTGCCAATTTTCGGTAGTAGTCTTAAAGGATTGTCATTTAAAATAATTCTTTGCCAACACCTCTTCTTTTTAGGTTTTTCAAGAAATTGAATTGGCTGACGACCACTGATGCGGTGTGTACTAAACTTAAGCACACAAGACTAAAAAATTTTCTCTACCATACATAAATTTTTATCTAAAAAATCAATTCCTTTATAATCCACTGAAAAACAAAACAAATTTAATATACTTAATCCATATCATAATTTATATAAAATATTACTTAAAATAATATTGCTAAAATAAGCAGATATTATTTAAAAAACTGTTTGAAATTGAAAACAATAAAATAATGGACATTTATGTTAGCTTCATAAGCAAAACACATGCAACTTATTAAAGCTAAAAAATGTTCTCTACCATACATAAATTTTTAATCAAATATTGGGGCTTCAACAACAGTATTTCATATTATTTCTGAAATAAAAAGTATAGGAGTACAGTAGACAATAATATAAAGAAATGAGTAGCAACCAGACGATGGTTAGTAAGCCAAAGGTTCATGAAAATGCCGGAAAATAGACCTTAAGGATGAAAATTAACAGAGACAGTGAATTTTCAATGTGGAAACTGTGCCAAATGGTTGAGATGTGGGGAAAAAAAAAAGGATAACAAGGATATTTGATTTGATGTGAGCCTGGCAGATGATGAATGACTGGGTAATAGGTAGTCGAGTTGTGTGTGAGTACAGCATATACTTTGTATAAATAGTGACTTTGCTTGGATTAGGTATTTGATCCTTAGCTGTCACATTCCATTAATACGTAATGCTGGTGGCTCTCCCACTACAGTACGTAATATTCAGTCTCTGCTTCTCTGTGTAACCATCAACATTTATTTATGCTGCATTGTAATTGTATTTCTATAGTAATTAACATAACAATATTTTCTGGTTGATATTAAGAAAAGTGTTTCATAATATGAAACATTTTTGAATAATTATTATTATGAATATTTGTGAAAAATATTTATTTTATAATATATATTATATTAGAATGATGTTTTAATGCTCAGTAAACATCAAAATATATTATTATAATCATTTCATAATTATATCCATATATTTCTGAAGATGAACTAATGAAGTTTTAAATACTGAATCACAATATCCATATATCATGTCATATATTATTATTGTGGATTACTATCTGCTTATTATATATAATATTTATTAATAGAAATTTAATTTCATTTTGTACATTTCTTAGGGTATCAATATATAATACTTGCATATAGGGTATATGTGGGTGGAGATGTGGGTATATAAGTAGGCCAAGTATACGGGGGTGTATTTGTATACCTATATAGGGGTGTACCGGTGTGTACATACACTTTATATTTTCTCTAAATTTTGTGCATGCAATGATGTGAATTATCAAAATACAAGCATACTTTATAAAAGGATGAAAGTATATTTAGTATTAAGTCTTCAGCGAGACACCTTAAATGGTATGGTATTTCCAGTAGACTCTGAATATTTTCAAAAACCAATGTCCTCTAAACTTCCCCCTTATGTGGTAAAGCTAACAAGTTAAATAACAATCATGTCCCTATTTATCTGAAATATATCCTGTTGTGTGTGTTATATGTTCCTGTTTGGTTTTGGCCTGCTAGCCATGTTGTCTGAGGGTCAAAGGGTCATACATCATGTTTGCAATACAACCAAAATTTATTGTTCTCATATGACTTTACAATAAATACTTCAGAATTATAACATGTCAAAAATCCGGAGCAAATTGGTGGAGGAATTACATTTGGTTGATACAAAGGCGGTGCCAGAAGTAGGTTTGGGGAAGGAGCGCAGGAACCACATCAGAGAACCTTAGAGCTTCCGACAGGGACAAAGATGACCATTTACTGGTACTGGTCTTTGTAACCATGATACTGAATTCGAAAGAGCATTTGAAGCCATTTCCGGGCACCTAGAAGTGCATATTATTTGCTCACATTTGCCCAAACCATGTTGGGGCTGAAGTGGGTGTGGACAACCTATCAGGGACCTTAGACACCTCAGTGCAACTGGGTTGATAGAATAACAAAGTACCATGCAAATGCAAACTTACCTCTACTATTTTGCCCAAATATCGAACATACTCTGTTTCAGTATCAACAAGTTCCTGAAGAAGGAATCTGAAAAAACAACAAATCCAAATAATAGCGTGATACTGTAGCTCCTAGAACAGAAAAAATACTAGAGCAAACAATAAAACCATTATAGTTAAAATGTTACCTTCCAGAGTATCCATGCTGTTAATAAAACCAATATACAGTACACACATATACAGTGATGTTTCTAGTCTATGGGAGAGCTACCTGGATGAGCAAGTTAATTCAATCCTTTTAGTGGAACTTAACTTTGAGAAAACATAATGCTTCTGAACTATACAGTGCATTTCTGTATATCTAACTTAAAATGTAACACCCATGTCATTCAACCTCGAGACATAAATATTGTCTATTCACTGAGCAAAGTCATCCACTTTCAAACTAAAAGTGTGGCAATTAAATAATATTTAGTATTCATTATACAGGCTGCATTAGTATTTTTCGAAGGCAAGTTCAATAAAAGGAAAATCAGTCCAGTCAGTTCATTCAGTTAAGTATTCACAGAAAAGACTTATCTGTTTATGACATTATATAAAATAATCTTCAAAAAACTTACGATCTTTTCAGTATTGCTGCGGCTTTCTTTTCTTCCACTGCTTTTTCCTCTGCTTCTTCGTCTGACACTGGTGCTGTTTCCTTATCTTCACTTACACCCTCAGTACATTCTCCTTCCTTTGTATCTATTTCTTTATCTTCATCCTTCAGGAAAGAAAATAAAATAATAGAACATTAAATAAATATACACTTCAGTCTTTTTATAATCTTACAAGTAGTGTTAACAAACTGATTTAAACAGTTTATCTACCTGTCATACTACCTGTTAAAAGCTAAAAACATTCAAATCCTAATTATTTTTTATCTCTGTTTTATTAGGATTTGATAGCCTATTTGATCATAATAATATTATAATACAATTTATTTAAAATTTATTGGTGTCGTCCCCCCCCCCCTGCTGAGTTTAGCACACATGGTACTACCTTTAAAACACTCAAAATAAAAAAATTTGAATGTTTCAGAAATGTTTGGATAAAATGTAAAAGGAAGTATTAATACAATTGCCAAGATGCTGTCATGTTTCTCTTAATCATTTCCTGGATCCTCATCTGTCATCATCTTCACCGTTATTATGGTAACTTACCATGAGCATGCATCATTAATTTAATAACTGTTAACCTTGTGTACATAATTGATGATAAATATATTTTAAGCATGTATTATCCTTTAAGGATCATTCGATTCCATGACAATAGTTAAGAGTTTCGGGAGGTTTGATCAAACTTTTGTACAAGTACCTTCTGCATGTCTTATTGACATCAAACTATTATTATAGTCAATTTTTTCATTATCGCCACATATCGGCTGTGCTCATCGGCACAATGAACGAGCAACCAAACGAGAACAACGGTAGGCGTAAAAGAGCAGAGAGGCTAGGCCCAATATCCCCCCACAAAATAATTACAAAACGAATTCGTCGCTCCACATGTTTGTTTGTTGACATTTTTAGCTTGTAGGCCTAGGACATGAACAAGAGGACAAACATTTTTTTGAAAGTTCGCGCCTAATACGATCTAGTCTTTGCAGTAATTGACCAGGAGGTCACATTTCACCTGATAATCGCTTTTTTGTGTTGCAGCTAAAAGGTGCACAGCAAAAATCGGTTATTTGCCGTTCAAACACGCTATCCATTGCATGTTTTTCATCGATTTTTTTAAATCGCTTGTTTCAAACTGGTCCCCTTTCTACTGCGAGAATAAAAGCGATTTTTCGAAAAAGCGATTTTTAATCAATTATTTCTTTCCAGTAGAAACAGGCCCTTAGCATGTATTTTGTGTTGCTTTGAACTCTTAACACCACTTTGATGACTGCAGTAATAGTTAGGTGTGTAAAACTATTCCACAGAAGCTTAAATTTCCCTCTCTCCAAATAATCACTCACCTAAACAAAATTAAGGTTTGTTTTTTAGCTCACCTACCATATTCAAATAACAAGCCCGGTTTAAACTGTGCTAACCAAACTAAATCAGATTCCTATGAAGCTTTCCTCAGATAGAATTAATATTTAGAAAGTGTTAATCTAACAAGATACCCATGTTTAAATCATATTGTTTGTAGTTAATGGTAAACTTCACCCACTCGGCTTCACACCATGTTAATGAAAATACACGTGTAAATTGATGGCAACTACAATCTGTAACTGATTTGTGAAGCACTGCAAATAAAATCAATACATCTTGGTCGCTTGAATGCCACCGATTTGATTAAAAGAGAGGTTGAGTGAACTAGACGGATTATACAAATAGATATACAAGAGACTGATGATG